CCTACCCATTGACAACACCAAGCCAAGCAGGGAATGACTAACAACTCACACTGACGTTTGAGGCTAATAGAATGTCTGTACTTTAGAAGGAAAAGAAGAATTAAGGACCAAGGGTCTGGGGAGGTGGAAGAGAGCACATGAGGACCAGGGGTTGGAAGTAGTATGATTTCTGCAGTGGAAAGGACAGCCCATAGGTAGGGCTCTCACGAAGGCTAGGGATGGGGCTGGGGACACATGGAGGGTCAATGAAATAAGCTCATGCCATTGTGGATGTGGCTCTGAACCCTGCACTGCCCTCAGGACTCTGTACGGATTGAACTATATCGCTTGAACATCAAGGAAAGCATACACTGGATACTTTCCAGTGCTCCACCTGTATTTGCCCAACTTGTATAATTGTCCTTTATTTCCCAGCATGATCCCCTCCAGATTCCTAGATTCTTCCAGTGTGAAGGATTGGAGAAAATGGGGAGCCACCGCAGAACCAACTGACTACGTGACAAGTAATGCAACTGATGCAACCTTACCCTCTTCTTTCCAAAAATAAGCATCATAGACCCCTGGGTTATGCAAGCATGGGCTTTTGACTGTGATGCGTTATAAGGTGACTTGCAAGTCTAGCACAGGATTGCATCAGATACCAGCTCGAAGTGCTTCGTCATAGGTTGCCTTCTAGAAAAAGACAGCAGATATTCTTTTTACATGTCTCCTCCTTTTTCGCTTGAAGTTGCTGAAAGGAGGAGAAATTTGACTGACCAGACATCAAGGGAAGGGCTGATTATATTAGTACCTAGTCATTCTTTCATTCAGTAACAATTGTTGCATTAGGGCTTCAGTAATGGATGAAACAGACCCACTCTGAACTCTCTTGGATCTTATTAGCTTGTACCTGAAGTGAGACACAAATCAATTGCTATTATTATTCAAAGCTACTATAATCATTGATACGGCTAACATATATGAACCTTTCCTAGGCAAGGGGTGTACAGAGATTCATCAGATTCAGCTGCTGTCATCAGGAGCTGAAAGCTTAGTGGGAGAGGGAGATAATTAATCCCTCTTGAGTGTGACACAGGGTTGCTGTGAGAGCACTGAGGACAAAGTGGCAATGTCTATGTGGGGAGGTTGGGCACATATTAGTAAGATGGAAGGTCTTAGCAATGCCCTACAATACCGTGAGCTACCTGGCTACCTGTGCCTCTCTACACTGGCTTCCTCATTCTGGAACTTTTCTGTCTCTGAACCCTTGTGCTGGTTTATGCCTCTAACCTAGAGTTTCTCAACCTTGGCACTATCGATATTTTGGGTTGGGGGCTGTCCAGGGTCTTGCACATGGTGAGGTGCTTAGCAGCATCCTCAGCCTCTACTCACTGGATGCCAGTAGCAACACTCCCCACCACCAAGTCTTGACAAACATAAATGTCTCTGGATATTGCCAAATGTCCCCTGGGAGCAAAATCACCTCCAGTTGAGAACTATTATTCAGACCGGAGTGTTCCTCCCTCAGGTATCTGCAAGGCTAGTGACTCCTTCACGAATTTGCTGATCATGTCACTTTCTCAGGGAGGTCCATACTGATAACACTATTTAAATCTTCAGTACCACCCACCACTCTGCATCCACCTCACTCTCTTTTAAATTTTCACCTGTAGACCCTAACATGGTCCAAACAACTCTATAATGTACTTATTTATAATTGTTGTCTCTCTCTCTCCATTACAACACAGACTGCACTGATAGTGTCTGTTTTGCTAACTGCTGTATCTATCCTTTGTGCCTAGACCAGTGCCTGGCAGATGTTAAGCACTCAGGACATATTTGGTGAATAAATAACTGAATGAACTATAATCCATATTTGTGTAAAAAGCTGTATCGGTTACAAGTATGTCCACATACATGACCTCATTTAACCCTCAGATAATACCATTAATTAGGCCACAGTGTTATTTTCTTTTTAGAGTTAAGGTAATTCAGTGATGTTAAAAATAAGTCGCACATCAGAAAATGGCGATGCCAGGAGGTAAAAAGGAAAATTAAATATTTTAAAATATAGGCCTGTCTACATTGCTTTTCCAGAGTCTGAGTGGGCAAATAGGGATCCACTACCCACTTTGGGGGGGATAGGGAGAGAGAAAAAGTAGGGAGGACCCTCTTGGCCTTGGCTGTAATGAACTGTCCTCTGCCTCAGATTCATGACTATTAAATAGACAAATAAGATTTTTCTACTCTACGAACCGGCACAGTGCTTAATGCAACATGAACCTTCTAATCTACTTGCTATGACTCTGTGTTTCTTTGTGTTGCTTAAACTGGAGCACATGTACCCCCATGGAATCTAAGGATGTACAAAAGTGTAAGAGAAACCCCAGAATAATCACTAGGCCTTTTATAAGGGAGTCACATTACTCAGTATGCAAATGTGGCAAATACTCTAAAATACTAGCTACATATTAAAAATAAATGTAGACATATTGTTCATGAATCTATTCATCAACTACTTACTGCATATCTATTTGTGTATTCAATAACGATGAACATCGTACAAGGCTTCTACTCTCATAGAGTTTATATTCTACTAGATGAGAGAGATAATGAAGAGATGAGAAATTCAAAGCAATTTTTAAAATAATTCAGGAAAAGTCATAGACATTTTGGGCTGGGGAGGAGTAGGCGCTACTTAGGCTGATCACCTTGTGGGGTGCACTCACTCACCCTTTGTACTTGTGAGCAACATACTGAGATGTATGGGGGTATTTGGGAAGAACATACTGACATGTACAGGACAGGATTTAATGTGAGGACCCAACAGTAGAGACAGGAATTGGGTCACCTGAAACCAAGAGAATACCCTCGACGTTGCTGCTTAAAAGCAGCATTTTCTGTACTATCTACCAAAAGAGCATTGGGTCAGGGCACATTAATGGATATTCGCCTAGTAATGGGTGTCTGAGGATAAAAGAGTTGCTTAGGTCAAAAAAATTGGAAAACATTGAGTACTCTATCTCCTTTCGTAGATGCAAAATACACATTAGTTGAAGTTCTCAGAAGTCATTTGGAAACAAATCTCTTTTTTCTCTGTTTAACCATTTGTTTCCTGGATTTACTTGAACTGAGCCTACTTTTTTTCCTTCTTAGTGACAAACTGTTCTTGAATATAAGATGCCACTGACTATAAGATGTACTATTACTTTATTCCCCACTAAGAGAGAAAAAGAAAACAAGCTTTTGCCAGTTATAATTTTAAAAGTTTGTCAATTATGAGACACATTCTGATTTGCGAGGCGTTGACATGAAAAATGCGAAACTTAAAAACTTTGAATTGTTGGATGGGATCAGATTTGTTCTTAGATATGTTGAGCTCATGGGACCTTTTTTTCTCTGAGCCAGGCTGTGCTCTGATTGCTCTCCCTGTGTGTCTTTTCAAAATCACCATGCAATGGAAATCATGGGATGCTAAGGTTGTGCCTTGGACAGCCCACTGTTGAACAAGGATTTTTGTTCCTCTTCCGTAGTATAGCATTGGTGCTGTGAAGTGGTGACTACCAGAGATTGTGTGTGTGTGTGTGTGTGTGTAAGTTTTGGGTGAGGGCAGGAGGCTTGAAGCTTAGGAGACAGGGAACCCTTGGAGGTTGTCTTAGAACCATAGAATGAGAGCAGAGATGATGCATGCCACTCCTGAGCAGAGGTAGGAGGCATCTTTCCAGTGGACTAAACTTAATTGAGCATCGACTCTGTGACAGGCACTGCTCCAGGGCCTTTACATAAATAGTCAGTTAATTCTCAAAGCAAAGTTGTGATGGGGGTGGAGGGGGATATTTTTAGCTTAATTGTGCAGGTGTGTTAAAGAAGTCTATACGAGTGTGTGCTTGGTCCACTGCCATGTGCTCCCTCACAGCCTGGCTTTTGACATGTTGGATTCAAGGTGTCTGGAGGACATCTCAGTGGAACTATCTAGGACACAGTATAGTAATATCCCCATTTTTACAGACTTTTTTTTTTTTTTTGACGGAAACTTACATTGCACTTGCTACTCTCTGGACATGCTTTACGAATGCCAGCTCATTTAATCCCAAGAAAATCCTCTGAGGTACATAGTATTATCTTCAATTTATCTACATTTTTAACCTCCATCTCTCATTTGTGGAATGTGATGATGATGCACTAGACTAGGCATCTTATGGAAGTTAGTTTAATTCAGCCATGCGAGACAAACGCAAATATCTCCATTTTAAAGACCAGAAAACTGAGGCTTGGTAGGTTTGTGTAAGTTGACTACCTTCAGACAGCTTTATTTTTATGAATTTCATAAACGCAAGCTTTTGTTATGATTAAAAACTATCATCCCATTTGACAGACCAGAAATTAAGGCTCAGTTGTTTAAGTGACTTGGCCAATGCCACATGCCACGAGTCAGTATATTTGATTCTGAATCCTAAACTTTTCCCAAACTTCCTGTTATCTTTCAAACTGTGTTTCACCATAGCTTTATTTTCAATCAGATTCACTGGTGAGTTTCTTCATAAGAAGACGTGTTATGGGCTAAATTGTGTCCCACCAAAATTCCTATATTGATGTCCTGACCTTCAGGACCTCACATCATGACTATATTTGGAGATAGGGCCTGTAAAGAGGTAATTAAGGTAGAATGAGGTTATTAGGATGGGCCCTCACCCAACGTAACTGGTATCTTTGTAAGAAGAGGAAATTAGGACACAGACGCAGTTGCTGGCACCTTGGTCTCAGACTCTAAGCCTCCAGAACAGTGAGAAAGTAAATTTCTATTGCTTACACCACCCAGTCAGTGGCCCTCCGTTACGGGAGGCCCGGCAAACTAATACAAACACTAGGTTTCCAAAAGTGAAACAAAATTGGTAAACCACCATCGTCTTAAATAGTTACGCAGGGTATTGGAACAGAGTCTGATTATTTTCAGAAGTTCCCTAAGCCCAGAGGTCAGATGACTTCCTGGGATAAAAGCCAGTTTCCTCTTGCTGTTGTTACTCCCCTCACTGGTCTGCAGACATTTTTTTTTTCTTCTTCTTCTTCTAACTTCCCCTCCTGTGACAAAGGAGATAAATATTAGAAGAAAAAAAAAAGTACAGAATGCTAAGGTTGCCACTCTCACTTCCTCTCACGCCTTAACTGCTTTGAATACAGTAATTGCTACCGGGCACCAGACGGGGAAGAGAAGACATCCGTGCCTCAGAGACTCTGCCCGGGTAGGTGGTTACAGAGAGTCATGCTTTCACAGGGCCACTGCTGCTCTCAGAAAATGCCAGGATGATGTTTCCCTCCCACCTGGCTGGGACGCTGATCCCGGCCATGGCCTTCCTCTCCTGCCTGAGACCAGAAAGCTGGGAGCCCTGCATGGAGGTATGTGGTTAGAGTCGGCTCATCTGTGAGTCTTCCCTTGCTTCTGCACAGAACTTCCCACGGCATGCCCAGATTGGTTTATTGTATGAAAAGAAGTTAGATTACCTTAAAGACTCGAGAAGCCACAGGGACCAAATAATTCATTATTACAGGGCACTAACAGGCAGCCAATGGGGGCTTGTTCCATTAAGGACTTCTGAGTGATAACAGGGGCTGTAGGTTAGAGAGACCTGTTTAAAATCCCTGCTCTGCGACCTTAGGGCTAGGTGACCTTGAAGCAGTTATTAAACCTCTCTGAGACTAGTTTTCACGTCTATAAAAGAATTATAATTATCCCTACTTTGCTGGAGAGTTGTAAGAAGGCTGCTTCAGCACCGTTCCTTTCTGCTGGAGGTTTGAACACTCAGCTTCCAGCAGTCACCCTACCCCTTTCAGTCTCACGAAGGAGATGGCTTTTTTGTCTCCCAAGAGAAAGAAAGAGCTTTCTAAGTGCTTGTCAGACGACTGCGTGCAGCCGTATGGTTCAGTCCAGAGGATGAAAAAAATAAGAGAGTGGAAAAGAAAAGGAGAGACAGAGAAAGAGAGAGAGAGAGAGAGACAAAGAGATAAGAAAAAAAGACAAGGAGAAAGATGTAAAATGGTGGCTATTGCAACGGTTTCTCTCTTCATGAAATACCACCCTGCTGATTGGTAATTTTTCACAGTGGGTCTCTTTTGTTCCCCTGCAACCTCTCCAGCCCCCCTTCCCCTGCACGGGGGACTTCATAGCTGCTTTAGAAACCCATAACAGACCAGGACAGCCAAGAAAATAGTTTGCAGCAAGGCGGGGTCCGAAACTCAAGAGAAGCATAGCGAGCTGCTGAAAGTCCTGAAGTTGGCGACATGGGAGAAAACAGTGTAATGTTTAGCAGAGACGAATTTGTTATCTCAAAGTCCTCCCTCCCCCCAACTCCCCACCCACATCCCTACTCCTTGCCCTCCTCTCTATTCCACCCGCTGTTAGGTTAACTGGGCTAGATACTCCAATCAGGGCCACCCTGGGATAAAACCACAGCCACGGCTGGCTCCTTTCCCCACCATGCTCCTTATTTTGTCAGTCCACAAAGCCTGTCTGTCCCTGTCTATCCCCTCAGCGCCCCCAGAAGGCAGGCCTTCAGTTCTCCTGGGCTCGACTCCTGGATATAAATAAAGTGGTCCCCTGATTCCATAGTCCTCTTTCTTTAATCCATTCTGCACACTTTTATTTGTTGTTTAGTTGTTGTTTTTCATGAGTATTGGATCTAAAAAAAATTCTCTCCTCAAAATCTTTTAATCACTCTCCATTGCCATTAGACCAGTTTCCTACCACAGGGCCTTTGCACTGACTGTTTTCTCGAACTAGAATGCTTTCCTCCTAGATCAGAGCTGTCCAATGGCAATATTATGAGTAACATTTGTAGTTTTAAATTTTCTGGTAGCTGCTTTAAAAAAAAAGTTAAAAGAAATGTGAATTTAATTTTGATAATATTTTTGTTTAACCTAGTATATTTAAAATATTTCAAGATGCAATATATATATTTAACTAGTAATAGGATGTTTTCCATTCCTTGTTTGGTACTAAGTCTTTGAAATTGGGTATACAGTTTACATTTACCATACATCTCAATTTCTCATGCTATGTAGCTGTGTAGGGCTAGTGGCTACCATATTGGACAGTGCAGCCCTGGTCATTTTCATGGCTTAGTCGCTCCATTCAAATCTCTGCTTAAATGTCTCCTTAGGGCAGCCTTTCTTGTTTGTCCCATGTAGAGCTTCCCAGCCACACTTTATTTGCCTCTAATTTCCTTATACTGCTTAATTTTGTTTCTAGAGCAAACCATTATATATTTTTGTTTATTTATTCATTATTCGTCTTTCCTTTTGGAATGGAATCTGTAAGAAGGCAGGATCATTGTTGGTTTTACTTATCAGTATATTCCCAGTGCCTAGCATCTAGTAGCTGTTCAGTTTATATGTGCTAAATGATTGGAATAATTGCTGCAGGATAAAGTCTGAGGCCCTCCTGATCTGGCCAGGGCTTCCCTTCTGACTTAAGTGTCACAACTCCAGGCACTCACTCGCTAACTGAAATTAGTTTTCTGTCCCTTCCTTGCTTAACACTGTTCTCCCTTATGAAATATCCTCCTTCCCCTTTCCACATCTCCAAACCTGACTCATTTTTCAAGACCCATTTTGAAATCCTTCCTTCCTAGGAAGTGATTTCTGGATCCAGCATTTATCTCTCTTTTCTCTGGACCAGAGGGTGCATTTTCCAAGTTTCTTTTACGGCCCTTTTAGACAGTGTTAGTTTTGCTCCTATTTAACTCTCACTCGAGACTGTGAATCCCCTGAAGTCTGGAGCCATATCACGTTTGTCATTGCATTGCCCACTGTGCTTAGCAGAAAATGCCTACAATTTGAACTTAAGCAAATCTCCATTGAATCAGTGATTCCATCAGTTATTCATTTATTTATTCAACAAATATTTGTTGAGCATTAGCCATTTGCCAGGCACCATTCTGAGTGCTGGAGATAAAACAGTGGACAAACCTATCAAATCTTACAATCTAGTGCAGGAGATAGATACACAATACATAGAGAACAATCACACAGGACATATTAATGTTGGATAGTGATACATCCTGTAAAGGAAAATAAAGGAGGGGAAGAGAAAAGTACCTGGCACTGGCTTCTTCTATTAGACAGTGTTGTCTCTGAGGCTCCTATGATAGGTAGCATTTAAGCAGACATGCAAATGAAGTAAAGACCTGCATGCATGAACTCTGTAACTTTATGTATATTACTTCATCTCTTTGAATTTCTATTTTCTTTATCTATAAAAGGTTTATTTGAAGATTCAGTTTAAGTATATACCATATAAGAAATATACTGGCATATGGTAAGGGATTAATAATAACTAGTAATAATTAATGTTAACATTTATTGATCATCTACAGTGTAGTAGGCTTTGAAATAAGCTCTTTAACACCTTATCTCACTTAATCCTTTAAAAAGATTTTATTAGTTTTAAACAACAGAAAACCAAAATTAGCTGGCTTAAGCAAGGAATTTTGTTGGAGGAAATAAGGGAATTCAGAAATTAGATGGGAGGTTAGGGAATTAGGCTTTCAAAGAGTATGGGAAAGTAGGTTAGAAACCAGCACAGGAACCAAAAGAGCATAAAACACTTGACCTTATTTAGTAGGCTCCACCACTGTAACCCAAGCACTCTACAGATTTCCCCCCATTTCTGCACCACTCTGCTCAAAGGCCAATGAGCCAAGAAAGAGAATCCAATTGTCAAAAATTGTGCTTTGGCTAGGGGAGGTCTGGACATCTTGACTGGCAGTCTTCTCAAGGCTGTGCACAATGGGGAATATTGAGAATGATACTGGGTATTTTATTGCTTGTATTTTTACATATGACAAAATGAGATTCGCTGAGATTAAAAGAAAAAATAAAAGGCTTTCTCCAAATCACTCAGGAGAGCTGGTATGAAACCTAGATCCTTTAGACTCCCGAGCCTCACCACCTGATTCCATTGCTTCTTGCTAAATGTTGCCATTGCTATAGCAGAGGTTGAAACAATGAGTACATAGTTGGTGCTCTTTCCTTCCTAATCTGGAGTAAGACATTTTATAAATGTAAAGTGAGTGGATGGATGGATGGATGGATGGATGGATGGATGGATGGATGGATGAAAGAAGGTTGATTGGCTTCTGGTCCTGCAGTAGAGGCCTCTAGTCTGTGGTCTGGGAAAGGGGAGTTGGGAGTGCACACAGTAGACACTACAACTAATGTGTCGTCATTGCAGGTGGTTCCTAACATTACTTACCAGTGCATGGATCTGAATCTCTACAAAATCCCTGACAACCTCCCCTCCTCAACCAAGAACCTGGACCTGAGTTTTAACCACCTGAGGCACTTAGGCAGCCATAGCTTCTCCAATTTCCCAGAACTGCAGGTGCTGGATTTATCCAGGTAATGAATGCACTTTTACATACTGTAAAAGGTAAGATGTTCATAGTTCTTTCATTTCATTCTTGGGTCATAAAGCCCAGTTAGCGCAATCTTACCTTCATTCACTTATTCCTTCATATGGCAGATGTCTTACTTGCTATATAACCTAAAGCAAGCCACCTCTATTCTCCGGGTCTTAGTTTTCTAATCTGTGAAATGGGAAGTTGGATGAGACAATTTCTAAGGACGATTCTAGGATTTTCTTTTAAATCAGGAGAGAACATTAACTTAAACTCTTTCATAAACAGATATTTAGTGACCACTTTTTCTATGTTATATACTCTGCTAGGGAACGAGAGTATATTGCTATATCACATGTAGCCCCTCGTTGTTAAGGAGGTGTAGCCTCTTGAAAGAGTTGATATGTTAAAGTCTTGCATATGGTTATGGGTACATAGTATACATTTAACAAATGTTACCTAATTCTGTTTTTTTTTTTTTTTTGGATTTTGAAGATGAGAAAAGGATGGTGATATATAAGAGTACATGATAAACTGTATGCAAACTACAGGCAACAAATTGCATTGTTCAGAAGAGGGGCCTTCTCAGTGGTGGGTAGTCAAGAAAGATGTCATGAACAGAGTGAGAGTCAAATAATATTTGGAATATTGAAAGTAGGGTAGCAGATAGGGAATTAGGAAAAGACAAGTAACTCAAGGATAAAGATGTCAAGATCAAAGGAAAACATCTGCTGTGGGCAAAGAATAGTGACTAATATTTTCTTTCCTGATGCAAGAAGTCTATCATTTATTGTGGCAAGTGAAGTTATCATAATTATATTTTGGGGAACTGAATACTAAAAGGGTTTTCATCATCAGGGGCATTATTAAATAACTGAACTAGATCATAGACCATATTCTCTATAATGGTTTCTGATGCCTGAATATAATATATTATATTATATATATATTATATATAATATATGGCTGGATACTTTCCGGACAGCTTTCATATTTTTATTACAGAAATTCTTGATAAAGACTAAGGTCATAGTATGAAAACCCCCTTAAGAGTAGACATTTATGTAGAAGAGTGAGTATTTGATGTTTTATACTCTAACGTGGATATTGATAGGGTATAACAAAGGAGGAATGGAACATTTTAAAGGCAGTAGCATAGAGTATAGAGCCCTATGTAGGTTAGAAGACCTGAGCCAAGTGATCCTCCAGCGTTTATAACTATGTGGCTTGGGGCATGTGACTTCATCTCCCTGAGGCTCAGTTTTCATATCTGTTAAATGAAAATGATGGAACTTATCCTATAGGATTAAAAGTGATAATGAGTATTAACATGCTATCCATGTAAAAACTTTATAAAGCATATTGTAAAATCATAAAGTGCCATTAGTATTCCATTTCATTACATTCTAAATTTCAGTTTTGTGAGTGAAAATTTTGCCATGAACTATATTGAGGTAGATCATTCTTCCCCCCTTTTTTAAATAAAAAAATAATTTTCATCAACAATCTCTTAGAGTTCATTTTTGATCCACCATTTACCAAAGAAACTTCTCTCAGAAGCCTTAAAGATGAGCTTAGAGAGAAGCCAGTTTTCCCTCTGGTTAGCCCATGGGAAATTCCAAATTAGGGCAAGGACAAACAATATAGCACAGTAGGCATCTTTTGCCTTCTCATACAATGTTCATATATAACAACTCAACTAGTCCTCTGAGAATCCTTTGTGCTAGACCAGGCATCCTTTTTTCCAGCCTATGGAAATCCATCCATCCATCTATCTATCTATCTATCTATCTATCTATCTATCTATCTATCTATCTATCTATCTATCATATATCTGTATCTACCTATTTCCCTTTTAAAGATGAGAAAACTGAGGGTTGGAGACTTTAAATGACTTATATGCATTCACTTAGCTTGTTGGCAGCAGACCAGAGATTCAGGTTCATATCTCCTGTGTCCAAGTTAAATGATCTCATCTTCATACTCTATTTCTCTAATGTGATGATCCCTGTGTAATGAGATACAGAGACAGCAAGACCCTTTCAGACTTCGCTGAGGGTAATGACTTCCAGTTCCATCCAACTTGCTACAAAAAAACATCATTTCATTCTTTCTTATAGCTGAGTAGTACTCCATAGTACCTATATACTACATTTTCTTTATTCACTTTTCAGTTGATGGTCACTTAGGTTGACTTCACATCTTTTCAATTGTGAATTGTGCTATGATAAATATTTGGGTGCTAGTGTCCTTTTGTAAAATGTCTTATTTTCCTTTGGGTAGATTACCCAGTAGTAGGATTGCTGGATTGAATGATAGGGCTACTTTTAGTTTGTTGAGGAATCTCCACATTGTTTTTTATAGAGGTTGTACTTGTTTACATTCCCACCAATAGTGTATAACTATTCTCTTTTCACTGCATCTGCACCAATACCTATTATTTTTTGACTTTTTAATACTATCCATTCTGACAAGAGTAAGCTGGTTTTTAATTTTCATTTCCCTGATGATTAGTGATGTTGAGCAATTTTTCATATATTTGTAGGCCATTTGTATATCTCCTTTTGAAAAATGTCTGTTCACACCTTTTGCCCACTTTTTATTAGGGTTATTTGGTATTTCTTTTCTTGCTGATTTGTTTGAATTTTTTGTAGATTCTGGATATTAGTCCTTTGTTGAATGTGTACTTTGTAACTATTTTCTCCCATTCTGTAGGTTTTCTATTTACTCTGTTGATTATTTCTTTTACTGTGCAGAAACATTTTAGTTTAATTAAGTCTTATTTATTTATTTATTTATTTATTTATTGTATTTGCTTTTGGGATCTTAGTCATAAATTCTTTGCCTATGGCAATGTCCAGAAGAGTGTTTCCTAAGTTTTTTTTTTCTACAGTTTTTATGGTGTCAGGTCTTTCATTTAATTATTTAATCCATTGTGAGTTAATTTTTGTATATGATGAGAAATAAGGATCCAGTTTCATTCTTTTGCATATGGCTATCCAATTTTTCCAGCACCACTTATTGACTAAGGCATCATTTCCCCAGTGTATGTTTTTGTCTGCTTTGTGGAAGATCAGTTTGTTGTATTTTGGGGCTCTCTATTCTGTTCTATTGATCTATGTGTCTACTTTTATTCCAGTATTGTGCTGTGTGAGCTACTATATAGCCTGTATAATTTGAAATTGGGTAATGTGATACCTCCAGATTTGTTCTTCTTGCTTAAGATTGCCTTGGTTATTCAGGCTATTTTTTGCTTCTATGAAACATTTAGCACTGTTTTATCTAATTCTGTGAAAATGGCATTGGTATTTTAATGGGAAATGCATTGAATCTGAAAATCATTTTGGGAAATATGCACATTTTATTAATAACAATATTGAGTCTTCCAATCTATGATCATGGACTGTTTTTTAATTTGTTTATGTCATAAATGATTTCTTTCCTAAGTGTTTTATAGTTCTCCGTGTAGACATCTTTCACCTCCTTAGTTAAGTATTTTCCTAGCTGTTTTATTTTTTTGTAGCTATTATAAGCCGTACTGAGTTCTTGATTTGATTCTCAACTTAACTATTAATAGTGTATAGAGATACTACTGATTTGTATACTTTAATTTTGTAACTTGGGATTTTACTGAATTTATTGATCAATTCCAGGATTCTTTTTGAGAAGTACTTAGGGTTTTCTAGATTTAAGATTATATCATCAGCAAATTGGGAGAGTTTGACCTCCTCCTTTCCTATTTTGATGACCTTTATTTCTTTCTCCTGTCTGATACTCTGGCTAGCACTTCTAGTACTATGTTGAATAGAAGTGACGACAGTGGGCAGTTCTCAGGGGCAATGTGTTCAACTTTCCCCCATTTCGTATGATGTTGTATATGGGTTTGTCATCTATGGCTTTTATTATTTTGAGGTATGTTCCTTCTATGCCTAGTTTGTTGAGGGTTTTTATAATGAATCGGCGCTGGATTTTATTGAATACTTTTTTTATGCATCTATTGAGATAATTGTATGATTTTTATATTTAATTCTGATTATGTGGTGAATCACATTTATTAATTTGCATATGTTCAACCATCCTTGGATTTCTTGGGTGAAACTCACTTGATCATGATGAATTATTTTTTTGATGTGCTGTTGAATTCAGTTTACTGATATTTTGTTGAGGATTCTTACATCTCTGTTAATTAATGATATTGGTCTGTAGTTTTCTTTTTTGTTGTTGTTGTGTCTTTTCCTGGCTTTGGTATCAGGGTGATACTGACTTCATAGAATGAGTTAGGAAGGATTCTCTTCCTCTCATATGTAACAGTTTGAGTAGGATAGGTACCAGTTCTTCATTGTATGTCTGGTGAAATTTGGCTATAAATCTATCTGGTTCTGGGCTTTTTTTTTTTTTCTGTTGGGAGATCTTTTATTACTGATTCAATCTTGGTAGTTGTTACTGGCTTGTTCAGGATTTCTGTTTCTTCCTGATTTAAGTTTGGGAAGTTATGTATTTTCATAAATTTATCCATTTCCTCTAGATTTTCAAGTTTGTGTGTATAGAGGTATTCATAGTAGTCTTGGATGATCTTTTGTATTTCTGTGGTATACGGTGTTGTAGTGTTTCCTTTTTAATTTCTGATTGAGCTTATTTGAGTACTTTTTCTTTTCTTGGTTAATCTAACTACTGGGCTATCAATTTTGCTTATCCTTTCAAAGAAACATCTTTTCATTTCATGGATCCTTTTTTTTGTTTGTTTGTTTTTGTTTTTTGCTTTCAATTTTATTTAGGTCTGCTCTTATCTTTGTTATTTCTTGTCTTCTGCTAGCTTTGGGTTTGGTTTGTTTTTATTTTACTACTTCCTTGAGGTGTGACATTAGGTTGTTAATCTTTCTGCTTTTTCAATGTAGACATTTAATGCTATGAACTTCCCTTTTAGTCTTGTTTTTGATGTATCCCAGAGATTTTTGGTAGCTTGAGTTGTTATTGTCATTCAATTAAAAAATTTTTTGATTT